GTTCAGATCAGGAACTCTGAATGTTGAAGATATGGTCATCAATGGTCTATGGCCAGCAGTAGCGCCAAGCATTCCTTTTTCATACGCCGAGAGGCCAAGGTTTCATGGGGAGAGAGCCTTACTCAAATATGCCACAGGGTGTGTATCTTGCATCAGAATCGCTCCCACTCCTGTAGCGCTAGCATCAGTTTCCACCACAAACTGTCGCAAAAAATCTGGCAGCGCCAACACGGGTGCTTGAATCAGGGCTTGTTTGAGTGCTTGAAATGCCTCCTCGGTCACTGGTGTCCAAGCAAACAGGGAGTTCTTGCGAAGTAGATCGGTGAGGGGTCGGCCGATGACACCAAAATTCCTCACGAATTTACAGTAGTATCCTGCCAATCCAAGGAACCCGCGTAACTCCTTCACGGATGCTGGCTGTGGCCATGTCGACACGTCCTGAACTTTATCTGGAAGCGTTGAGACACCTTCACCACTGATATGATGCACAAGATAGGAGATGGTATTTTGAGCAAATGTACATTTGGAGAGCTTTGCTCGTAGGTCGTTGGATCGCAGTAACGAGAGCACCTGGCGTAGCAACTGGATATGAGCGAAGAAAGTAGCTGTGTGGACTAGGATATCATCCATGAAACAAAGGACCCCATGACGAAGCAATGGCCCCAATATGGTGTTCATGCCTCCCTGAAATGTTGCTGGCCCGGCTGTCACACCATATGGAAGGACCCAAAACTGCAAGTGCCCGTGGTGAGTTTTGAAAGTTGTCTTTTCTTCGTCCTTGGGCCGAAGTCTGATCTCATGATAGCCAGCGTGAAGGTCCAGCTTGGAGAACCGTTTGGAACCTGCTAGTTCATCGAGCAACTCGTCGATGATTGTCAAGGGGTATGTGTTCTTGACTGTGATTGTGTTCAAGTGTCTAAAATCCATGCAAAATCGCTATGTCAGATCTTTCTTCTTGACTAATAGCACCGGTGACAAGAAGGGACTGATACTGGGGTGATTAGTCCAGCCTTGAGCATTTCCTTGACTTGATTCTCTATCTCTGTCTTCGGTTATGGGGTGTATCGATATAGTCTGATGTTAACTGGCTTGGTGTCTGGCAATAGTGTGATGGAATGATCCCAGGCTCTATGTTTGGGAAGTTCTGTTGGTTCCGTAAAAACCACTTGGAATTCATCTAGCACTGCCTGAACCTCTGCTGGTAGCGTCACCTTGTCCTTCTCTTCTGGTGCGATGGCACACAAGGCCACAAAATGGACAATGTCCCCTTCCTCCTCCATTGCTCTGAGCTGAGTGGCTGACACCTCTGGAACTGGCTGCAGTCACAATTGGATCCCTGTTAGTGACACTTCCTTGCCATTGTGGTTGAACCAAAGTGTTTTATTCGTCCAATCCACCCACTTGGGTCCGCACTGTTCCAGCCAATCCATTCCGACGATCATGTCCTAGCACCCCAAGGGCAGCACTCGCAAATTAGACTGAAACACTTGTCCTTGTGTCCTCCACTCGCATCGCGGCAGTATGCCGGTGCAAGATAAGGTGCCACCGTCAGCTATCTTCACTGGCATGGGAGCCAGTGGCTGAACCTTGACATGCATCCTTGACACACTTTGCTAGCTAATGAAACTGTGAGAGCTGGCGGAGTCGGCCAAAATCAACACTTCCACGTCCTCAATTCTTCCCAACAATCGTACTGTAGGGGTGTCGTTTGCCCTGTTGTAGCGAGCTTCGAGATAGACATCAACACCTCTTCTTGATCATCATCGTCTGGCTGCTGCTGTATTGGGTATTCTGCTTGGAGTAGCTCCAAGAGCTCTTCGACAATGTGGACTTGTACAGTGGGGGCACATTGCTTACCGGCCCCCCACCTTTCCCCACATTTGAAGCATAGTTCACGTGCTCGTCGGTAATTCCGAAGAGCAGCGACCCGGTCGTCGCCGCCCCTCGATCTTGAGGACGAGCAGCCTCTTGCCCTCTCCAGTCCTCTGCAGCCACAGGTGGCCCTTGAATGGGTCGCCCCAGCGGAACAACCACTGGTAGGAATGGACACGGCGGCGCTCGAGCCGGTGGTGACTCTTGTCGTCTGTACTCCCGCCGTGGCAGTGCTTCCAGAAGCTCCTCCTGCATGGAAGCCAAGGAAAACGCAGAGTCCAAGTCTTTTGGTTGATGTAACGCGACACCCACACGAATTTCATGCTTCAATCCTTCTAAAAATTGTGTGGTGAAAAACACTGGATCGTAGGATGAATTGTGCGCTAATAGATGATGCATCAACTCTTCGAACTGTGTCATATACTCTCCTACTGTCCCAGTTTGTCTAAATGTGCGAAACTGACGGAGATGTGCCTAATATTGCTCATGCCCAAATTTACCACACAGTGTTGTGCACAACTCCTCCTAGGACATCGGCATGCCTCTGGCCTCGCGCATCAGTAGCCAATGAGCTGCGTCGCCCGTAAAATGAAGAGTAGCAATTCGAACCCACATGTCCGACTGCACCCCATAAACATCGAAGTACTTCTCACAGCGGTTTCGCCAAAATCGAGGATTCTCTCCACTAAAAACTGGAAAGTCTAATCTGGGAAGTGACCAACTGTATGTGGATCAGGAACAGCTACAGGACTCCCGGAATTGACTACGAGAGCATGTGATCCAGTCAGGGACGTACCCTTGACCGGAGGCGGCAACTGAGTGATGACCACTCCGTATGTCTGCCCTCCGGTGTCATCGATCTCGCAGTGGCCATCAGGCTTGTGGTTGCGCGTGTCGGCCCCTCCTTCTGCTGTGGCCGCCGGGCGTACCACCGCGTCCTCCTCCGGGATCGGATCCGAAGGCGTCGCCAGAACCGGGTGAAGGGTGATCCGCCCCACTTGTGTCCGCAGCTCATCGAACTGATGCTGGATATGGGTGACCGTCGGTCGCTAGAGCTCGAGGGAGGTCTGGATCGCCTCGATACGGGCATCATTGGCCACCCTTCCGTCGTTGACCGCCTTGGCGAGAGCAGCGATCTGCTCCTCCATCAGCAACGCCTGCTTTGCTTGCTTGTTGGTGTAGCAGGGTTTCAAATACGCGGTCTCCAGATCTCTCTGACCTCTGATACCATATGTTACAGGCCGATCTATCCTAGGGGATCTGAGAGAGGATGAGGAGGTGTAAGGAGCAGGTGAGACAGGGAGAAAGGGGATAAGCGGGGAGGAAAATTAGCTTCTCTCCAATTCGTTCGATGTCTTTCCGCATGCCTTACAACTGGGCTGGTCTGGCCTTTAATACACACACAAACACACACGACACCTCACTTCACCTTGCTAGGTCCATCCTTGACTTGGTCCGCTCCTTCTTTACCTTGGTCGATGCCCTCACTGACCATAGGCCCCACCGCCTCGTCCTTCATGTTCGCCGTGGTAGCATGCCCCATCATGACATAGACATGCATACGTTTTTGTGTAAAAAGAATCAACTTTTATTGAAAGTTTTAAGCGCCAGTTTTTAGCCTTTCAAAAAAAAGAACGTGTTCATTGGCCGTCGTACTCCAAAATCTGTCTTCGTGGAAGATACTCCTACTGCAGAGAAGGAGGCCGCGCTCATGGATAAACTTCAAGCTTCACTTCAGCTTTGGAGGAGGCATCATCAATAACTGTAAGTTGCATTGGCCACCTTTTTGATTTTCTGTTATATAATGCCACTTGCTAGGGACGCAGTCTTGATCATTTAACAATAATACTAGATGTACAGGCTGATTGATACAAAGACTTTACAGGAAGAGAGCGTGGCCTCATCTAATTGGCCCTCCCTGATTTTCACTGATGGGCCCATCCTCCTAATTAAATCTCCGCCAATCACAGTCCATCAGCCCTGTAAATTCCCTGTAACTTCCTGTACGTCTAGCATTGCTCATAATTTAAACAAGCTTCAACAAGTAAGCTCTCTTAATAGGAATCTTACAGACGGCAACTTGCTGGCCATGTGTGTGCGCGCGCTCATGCATGTGAGATTAACAACTTGCGATCCGAGGAATCTTGAGCAATTTTAATTTTTGAGGGGAATCTTGACCAAATTTTAGCTATGTCAACTTAGTTACAGCACACAGCCACTTGCACGGTTTGTGCATCTATTCACTCCTGTTCAAAACCCATTTCCGGCGCAAGATGCGGCCTGCAATAAAGATTCTAATTAAGGGTGGAGAGATGCGTCAGGTACAGTTCAGTAATCCAATAAGAGACCGGCACCAAAATTAACCAGCTACTCCCTCTGTATCAAGATATAAGACGTTGTGAGTGTAAAAAACGTCAACGTCTTATATTTTGATAAAGAGGGAGTACTTGTATACTTAACAGTCATCCAGGTCTTGGAAAAAAGTACAAAACGATCTAGGCATGCAGTTTACTTTGTGAGCTGGTTTTAACGTTATGATTTGTGACGCTCCAACCAGGCAAGCACAGAGAGTCAGAGAAAACAACTCGTCGCACAGCTCACTGTGTCTGTGAGGTATCCGATGCATTAATGTAACTCGTCGACACGAAGAATCTTCGTCAAATACACATGCTACCTGTCATGCATACTTGCGGTAGGTGACTAGTTTCCTCTCTAGTTGCAAATTGCGTACTACTATAAGGTCATGTTTGGTTCATAAGTCATAGAATTTTTTTAGTCTCAACTAAAAGTCGCTAGTCCCTAAAAAGTCCCTAGTTGTTTGTTTCTGGGACTAAACATGCACTAAAAGACAATGTTACAACTAAAAGTCCAAAAAGACTCTTCCTTAGGGTCTTCTTTCATAAGTTTCAAATGCCCACTTTAACTCCTTATAAGTCTCTTATGTTTGGTTTAGATGAACTAAAAGGAATTTTTTTTGAGTCCCTATACCAATAAATCCCTATAAACAAACACCCCCCTAAGACACATGATGCTTCCAAGTGCACACTAGTGCCCTCTGGTTGCAAATAGCTTAACCGTTAGAAAAAAGGTTTCTATGGATTTTAAAAATCTGCAGTCGGCACAGCAAGATGGTTTCTATTAGTACTAGCTGTTCCCCCCCGGACAAAACTCTTCCTCCATCATTCCACTATCCAAGAAAAAGAGCCACAATGGAGGGCGCGGCGCAGACCATCGTCGGCACTGTTGGCCGGCTGTTGGGCGAGGAGTTCCGGCAGCTCCGAGCCGTTGGCCACGAGGTTGTGGAGCTGAGGGACGAGCTGGCCACCATGAACGCCCTCCTGCGCATGCAGGCTGAAGCCGAAGACGGCGCCGTGGACCACTTCATCCGGGAGTGGATGAAGCAGCTGCGCGAGCTAGCTTATGACGCCGAGGACTGCGTTGACCTCTACATATTCCGCATCAAGTGCCGTTTTGGCGACGGGTTCCTCGCCTGGTCCAATCGCCTCCTTGTGACGTTCTTCCCTCGTCGTCGCCTTGCTGGCGAGATCAAGTCCCTACGAGCCCGTGCTGTCTCCATCAGCGAGCGCCATGCTCGCTACAGCGAGGCACTGCGCCGCTCTCCGGCTTTAGCCCTCATGCCGACAGCGTCGGCATCTGAGCTTGTGCTCCGCCCTGCCAACGATCCTGATCAGCTCGTTGGCATCCAGGACGAGGCTAACACCCTGGCTGAAATGGTCAAGGCGAGGAATGACGAAGAGGTTGACAGCAAACCCAAGGTCTTCTCCATCCTGGGTTTCGGGGGGCTCGGAAAGACGACACTGGCCATGGAGGTGTACCGGCTGCTGGAGGCGGAGTTCGAGCACCAAGCGCAAGTATCGGTGTCTCAGGCGTTTGACGGCACCAAGGACATCCAAGGATTGCTGAAGCGCGTGCTTCGACAAATTATTATGGCGAAACCACAAAATGAGAAGGAAGAGAATATCGGCGACGTGGATGTGATGAACCTGGCCAGGAAGCTCAAGGAGCATCTTGCGGACAAGAGGTACGTACGGATAAGCACACTACTTATTGTCGATGCTGGATTTTTAGGTAGAATTAATATTACATAAAACCCGTACACAAATTGCCGTAGGTATAGCATTACCTATTATTGGGAGCACCTATGGCTCAGGTGCCTGAAAAAAGAATTTGTTTCTGTCAATTTTCCCCAGAATCGCTGGATGTGAATCCAACGAACATGGGCCGCCTAACTTCAGGTGACTGAAATTTTTTGGAGCGTCAGTCAAATTTTTTTCTTTTTTGCGGCCACCGTTGCCGTTGCATGCTACAAGAATTGGAGCGGAGGTAGTACTACTAGCATAAAGTCATGCATATATGTACTACACAGTAGTCTAGCACTATGTGATATCCTATTTTCCTTTGTGGGGCCCTTGCACCTGCTGCCATGAAATGTACAGAAAGCAAATTTATCACTACTACTCCCTTCATCTTAAAATAAGTGTCGCTTATTTATTATAAAGTTGAGTACTTAGTAACATGTGTGTACAACTGACACTTGGCTTTTCGTATAAATTTGGATCATGGCGAGCTTATTTTATGGCGGGAATGTACAGATATATGCACGGTGGCAAGTGTGAGATGGTAAACTGTTTAAGGGCTTCTGAAGTAGAAAAAAATTGTTGCAAATCAAATCTAGTTTGAAAATTAAAATACTCGAACATAATAATTACATTCAAATTATTGAACTGTGCAACATACAAGAAGAAATTAACATAGACGAAAAATGGAAATTGCAATCTAGATTGGAAATGAACATAGACAAGAAAAATCAATCAAAGGATGGAATAATTCTAAGAGTGTTGTTACCTCAAAGAAGAAAATGAAAAAAAAAAAGATCAAGTTCCTTTCAATGAAGAGATAATTGTAGGAGTGGTGTTACCCAAATGAAGAAATACACAAAAATAAGAAAGAAATGATAGAGAAATTTAATTCAAGGAAGAAGAAATTCTAGGAGTGGGTTAGCCTTAAAGAAGAAATGAAGAAAAACAGAAGAAAGAAAAGCAAAATTCTGTATAAGAAGGAAATAATTCTAGGAATAGTGTTATCTGATACAAAAAAAAAAGCATAAAAGAACACAACTCGTTCTAAATGAAAAACAAATTATGAGAGTAGTTTGACCCTAATAGAAACTACAAGAACTTCTAAAAGAACATTAATATCACACAACTATGCTTACCCGGGTATCACTAGAGTTTTCTAACTTAGTGATCCGCGTTGATCTGGCGCAATTCATCGAGACCTGACGCCTGCTTCAAGCGTGAGCACAACTGTTAGCCATGGATCCCCTTTCAGGCCTTCCTCGACTGGCTGGAGACCACACTGGCAGCCAACACCGCGGCGATATAGGCCTCGACCACCAAAGTCAACAATCTCGTCGCCTGGCGGCCCGATCTAGAGTGGCGCGTTGCGGATCTCGTCGTCTGGTGGCCTGATCTGGAGCGGCATGTCGCAGATCTCGTCGCCTGGAGGCCCGATCTGGAGCCGCACGTCGCAGATCTTGGCGAGACGGGCCCGCGCTCAACCTCGCACTCCCACAACCACCAGCTGCGCAAGACGACGGCAACAAGGCAGGTGCAGCCACCACGCCTTCGCCGGCGACGCACAACGCCCTCCCCGGTGTTGTGACTGGTGTGGCAACAATTTCTCAAGGGTGTACGACCACGATAATGCTCATTGTTGGTTGCGTCCTTCATGACGCCCGGCGCCGGCAACCGGCCAGCACAACATCACTTCACCAAATTCCATCCCCTCCCCGTTCATGCATGCGAACCAGCTCTTGGTTGGTCTGGGTGAGGCACATCCCTCAATCTGTTTTCCCCAGTTCACTGCTGAAAACCCATGCCTCAGAAAAACACTATGTGAGCAATATTTCCAAATGTTTGAGATACATGATTCATTTCCAGGTACCCATGGCCTCACTGAATTTCCTGGGTTCTGCTTCAATTTGGCTGCAGTCGGTGCAGAAGAAACTCTCTGACTTGGATTGGGGATCGTTTGCATCTATGTTATGCACTTGTTTCGGATGAGATCGACAGAATTGTTCATCAGTCAGTTTTACACTGTGTGACAACTTACTACTGTCACCGATTACATTGAGCGATTTGAAATTATTATAAATCATTTGATGAAAGGTACTGGACTGGACGAATACTCGCCCAGGTTGCTCCCATGGGCGGCTGGGCGAAAACCTAGCCACCACTGCCAGCACCTCCTCCCCGTATCCCCTTCCCTCGCCGCCGCCAGAGGACAATGCCGGGCGAAGCCTGGATGGGGGCGGCTGGACCTCCTCTCCCTGCTTCCCTGCTGGTCGTGGCGCGAGACTCGACGTGCGGATGGGGAGCACGGCGCTCACGCACGGTGGCGCCTTAGGCGGCTGAGCCTTGGGCACGGCGGCTCGACTACATGGCGATGGTGGCGGGGTGGCTGGCTGTGCCGGCTTCGTCAGATCCGGCGGTCGGCGCCGCGGGCTGCGGTGGCGTGGCTGGACCGCTGGAGACGCCTACTGGTGCGGCGAGGCAGTTTATGAGGACATTCGGGCTGGGCCTCGACCTGCCTTGTTGGCTAGATGTGGCATAGCTGGAGGGCACCTACAAGGCTCGGGCTTGATCCACCCGGATCTCGCCCTGATAGTCAGCGGGCAGCTCGGGGTGGTAGCAACAGCCGTCCTGGTTGGTGCTCGATGATGGGCTGCGACAGCGTGATGGCAGCCCATGGTGGTGGTACAGGTCGTTTTGCGGCTGCTCTGGTGGTGGTCACTAGTGCCCTTTTGCGGCTGCAGGTGGTGGTCGGTCCGGTACTTCGCATCGTTGGGTGAATGGCGGGGATGGGCCAGGTGTAGTTCCAATTCAGGTGCTACGGTTGGGCGTTGCAGGGGGTGGAGCTTGAAGAGATGGTGGGGGAGATGGGTGGCGCCGATGCGGTCAGGCCACCCGTCATCGGCAGTGGTTTCCGGCGTCGACGTGGTCTGCGCCTGCTTCACCTCTTCTTCGACCCAGTGGCTCCCCGATTGATCTGGTCTCTCCAGCCGTTGGCGGCTCTCTCGCCGATCGGAGCTTGCCAGTCGGCTCATCGCTCACAGGCATGGAGGACATATGGAACTTCGGGTTTCCCTGGGCGGTGGCCCAGGCGGTGGGAGTTATGATGCCTGTGGGCTAAGTTCACAGCTCAGTTATGATGCTTGCGGGCGGCTAGCGGCCATGGTCGCATGGGCGGAGTGGTCGCTGGCGTTTTCGCGTTATGTGACGGTGTGCTGCGGTGGTCCATGTAGCCGCACAATGGGCGAAGGCGGAGTATGCTTGCTGGGGTGAAAACCCTGTCCGGATTTGGCTGGATTGACAGAAGCGACGCCTGTGGACGTCGTTTCCAAAAGTCTCTGTCGTGGTTGCTCCTTTCTCTTCTTCTCCATATGAAAATCTTGATCTTTGGATCGGACGGTGGCGGCGCTTTGGTGTCGTATCCTTTCTGAATGCATCATCTTCGAGCTCATGGTTTTGTCGACTCTCAACTTCACCTCTTCAGGGTATCTTCACCGGGGAGGGCTTCGGCAGCTCCGTAGTGATACTTGCTGACATTTTGTAGTCTACTTCGAGTCGCTTGGTGTGTTGTTGTGGTAGCCCTCTGGCACCTACGTATCTTGCCTCGGGTTCGTGTGGTGTTGGGTTGCCGTGTTGTGTTTGTATCGGTTCGTATGTTGGTTTGTACATAAAGGGAGGTAAAAGCCTTTTTAGGTAAATCATTTAACATCTTATTCAGACTCAATTCAACCTTATTTATTTCATACTCGATTTAGCTAGGGGCTGGGGGCGATATAAGAGCGGGTGGTGCTGGTGCAGCGCCCACGGGACCTCGACACTGCATGTTCCCTGCCACTAATCCAGGAAGAGGTGGTTCATGGCGTCATGGATATCGTGGGCATTCTACTTCAGCGCGACCTCCTAAACCACCACCGCAGGCAGGAACACCGCTTCCTCTACCGCCACCACCAGCTCGTCCCGTGGCACCTACCACAGCAACTGACCGCCACGACACGGAGGGCGCACGTGCCGATAAGGTGAAAGTGCTCCGTTACTACCGCCGCGCCCGCGGATTTTGCTTCAAGTGCGGCAAGCGCTGGGGCTAGGACCACGTCTGTCCCACGTCGGTGCAGCTCCACGTCATTGAAGAACTTCTCGATCTATTCGGCATCGACTTAGTCTTCGACGTGCTTAGCACGGTTGACGATGACTACCACACTTCGATGGCCATATCCAAGTCGGCGTTCACAGGAGGAGTGTCACCCAAAGCTTTCCAATTGCAAGCATGGATTCAAGGCGAGGATGTTCTGACTCTGGTTGACAGTGGTAGCTGAACTTCCTTCATCGACCAGAAGCTGGCTGCGATGCTAACAGGGGTGCGACCCATGCCGCAGCCCTGCCGCGTTTTTTTCGAAAAGGGGGTTTGCCCCGGCCTCTGCAATAGAAAGATGCATACGGCCATATTATTAATAAGAAAAAAGTTCAATAGAGGTCTCGTAGTCTCAAACAAAGGAACAAGTGCTGTATAAGGAGCATGAAAGCACAAAAAGGGACTGCCACAACCGGCAGGCAAAAACAGATAGGAAACTAAACACCTATCCTATTACATGACCGCCATCCAAGCCGGTTGAAGATAGCCCAAGCTACCGTCTCCCATCGGATAGAACCAGTAACCAAATGCTCCCTGGCATCCGTCGGAGTGAGTAGCGACCACATACGGATGAGTGTAGTGGCCCTGAAGATAACCTACAAGAAATGAATATTTGTTGCTCTGTTAAAAACCAAATCGTTTCTCCAGTTTCAGATTGCCCAGAGTAAAGCACATACTCATACACGGATATGTCTCGTTGTTACTACGTCAATCCCATCTAGCCACGTCCCAAATAACGTGTTGATGGAACTCGGAGGCGTTATATTAAAAGCTATGTGGATGGACCTTCACAAAATCTTTGCCAAAGGGCAATCAAGA